GCCGACCCTTGCCGGCCGTCCGGCAATAACTCCCGTGCACTCTGACCTCAATAAACATAATCTGACTCAACATGAACATGATCAATGAAATAACTTGAAAACATAACTTTTTGCACGATCAACTGAATGGGGTCGTGGCGAGCGCGCCGTGCGCCGCCGACGGCGATAGGCCGTCTCTCGACCAATTCAACTTTTCCTTCGGCAATTCGTACTCAGCTGAACATGATACTAAATTTACTGAATAAATAACATGAAATGTTCGAAAGTTTCCTACTCAATCCGATCGAAACCAAGCGTGGCCCGTGGTATGCGCTACTTGCACGACCACGCTTCTCGGCCAAAGATCATTGACAGAACTTGAAATTCTTTCGAACAACATACACTGATTGATCATGTTACAGCATGAACTGACTAAATATACTAGGTTGCTCGAGAGATTTTTGACTTAAACATGAACATGCTTCTCGTAGTTATACGCACGGCCGCAAGCCACACATGACTAGAACATGAACTTGTGCTTATATTTATACTGAAATTAAACATGATACTACCAACATCACACGATGTGTGCATGAAGTTACCTATCCGCTGGCTCGGCAACCTTCGCTAAGTGCGGTATGCGTGCGTGCGTACGTTATCCAGCGTTGCGTGCGAGGTGCGAACTAGCTCGGGGTGCGAAGACTACAAGCAATCACTCACCTATCTCCCTTGCTGAATTTACTGAACTATGATATAGAAAATATAGGCTGAAAGTTGGGGAAAAATTCATCCCAATTTTTGCTTAAATATGATGGCCGAGAGAGGTAAATAAGAGTGACGATATGGTGTGGTGTTTAAGCCACACTAATGACACTTGGAGGCTTAAGAACTCATCAATGCTAATTCATCTTATAAAAAGATTAGTCATCTACAATAGCCCCCTAATGATGCCACACTAACATGCTTAAGAATGAAGGAAAAAGTTGGGAAAAAATCCACTAATTTACTCACAATAGTGTACGACTTTTGTGGCTTATAATATGATTAACTTACTAATTAACCACTTAATCATGTTTAATTATTTAATTAAACATAATGTTTAATTACCAAAATTATTCCGAACGTAAACAGTACGTCGAAAATAATTTTCGGTAATCTCAACTGAAAATAATTAATTCCAAAAATAATAATCGATAACATTATTATATCGGAACTAAAAACATAATTTATACTAATAAAATAACGGGATATAACATACTCTATTTATGGCTTCGGATCTTTATGCGAGATAGACTTATGCGATATTGGTGAGCATAGTGGTTTTGCTCACCCCCATTGTTTGTTTTGTCCTCTTGTTTCTTCTTCCTATCTTTAGGTTGAGCAATGTTGGCGGCGACGGCGAGAGACGAGTAAGTGGTGGTCATTAGATTGTGGTGTCCTTGCTTCCGCTTTATTTACCTACGTTGGATTATTATTTTTGGAGTATGATGTTTCCGCTTAAACTATTTTGAACATGTTGATTGGATCATTGGATCATGTTGAATCTCTTGGTTGGGTTTTGGAACTTATCATAACTTGGTTTGATTATTTATGATCGTTTGTATGCATGTGTAGGCTTCTTGTGGTTGTACTTATTTATCTATTTTGTTGGTAGTTTAGTAGCGCAAGTTAAGTTATAAAAGTTTTTAAATTGAGAATTTTGAAAAATTTACTATGATCTTTATAAATAAATTTGGTTAAATCTTTAAAATAAAACGGGGCATTACAAATCTCCCTCTTGGATTTCGTCGAATCATTTGGTGGCTGCTACAGTCTGTCGTCTGTGCATTCTTATACTAATGGAATCTGTAATATCCCGACTATTTATCAGTATAATTATATTTTAGTTCCGATATTATTTTTCAGAATTAATTATTTTCAGTTATTTCAGTCAAAATTACCGGAAAATATTTTCGACGTACCGTTTACGTTCGAAATAATTTTGGTAATTTAGTGTTATGCTTA